CCTCATTAACAATACATTCCCTGACTTCTCCTCCACCAGATCGCTTTTTGTTCTCAAAATACATCTCAAGTATTTCATTTCCAATCGAAGATGAAAATCCACTGACTTCAATTGTGTTTGGTTCAGGTCCAGTTTCCTCGATCAGTGACACATCTAAAGTTTGTCCTTCAAGTTTATGAGATTTATTGAAGACTTCTGTTGCAACTGTTTTTAAAAATATTTAAAAACACAACAATTATAGTAGCTTATCTGTTGCATATTTGGCTTTATAATGATACAATCAGGGAACAGTGAAATTACACTGTTCCCTGGATACAATATATAAATATATAATATCCTCTCTAAACCATCTTGTGAAACTGTAAAGAGAGTTTCTAGGAATATAAATAATAGTCAGAAAATATTTAACCTACCTTCTGTTTTCTCAAAAGTGATGAGTACTTTTCCCGGTTGAATTAACTTATGACTTTTGACATCTACGCCTCCGGAGCACTTTTTACTCTCAAAGTACATAATAACCGTCTCGAGTGATAACTTATGGAAGCATACTTCTAACATATAAAGTGGTTTATTATCCTCGTCTTTTGAGTGGTCCATTGTGGAATATAATGAACTGTCAATCTCAGTGGTTGATGATGATCTGAATAGCTTTCCATGTCCTTGCTGTTGGTCGCTGGGTGTGGGAAGTGGCTCTTGTCGGTGATGGTCATTACCGTGATGCAATTCAGAGGACATCGGACTGTTGCCATACATATCACCAACAGGAGATTGTGGCATCAGACACTCACCCGGTTGGTAGCCAGGTTTTGGGTCAATCTCTACTGTAGCCATACGTACTTCCAAGTTCTAAAAGGTCATTGAGCGAAAACAACATTTGAGACGTTCTGGGCTATCATTTTTTAAAAACTTGATTGATTAATATGTATTTGATTAAATCAAATCAATCATCTACTGTAACATCTAACATTTGTGCATAATCGTTTTGTTTTTATCAAAGTGTCCATAATTATAGGTCAAAGTCCATGGATGGCATGATATTTTGTCTTATCTATTGTAGCTTGTTTTCATAACTTGGAATTAGTGTTATTTTTAGTTTTATCAAAATTTACAAGTCATCTACGATTTATATTTGTACAGATATTAAATATATTCAGAAAAAAAAGTTGTAGACTAACTTATTTCCAAAGCTAATTATTTACCTCATTCATTCCAATAAATTCAGAAAAGAAGTTTAATCACATTCAGTGTATAATGAGAAATCATTATCATCAACAATCATCATAAAATAATACAAAAACATTTAGAGGACAAGCCAAACATTCGATGCCAATCCTCATCTTTGTAAAATTATAATGTAAATATAATTTAGACATTAATTGTGAGTACTGCCTAAGAGATGTTTGCAACCAAAAACAATTATTGTCTATCACCGAATTTTCATACAATTTGCAATGTATGTATCTAAAAGTATCTTTACATATGGTGAAATAATCACAATCAGATTACTAAACATTGGGCTATCAAACAAGACATATCATTAAAACAATTCATCGCACATTCACAAGATATTAGGAAAAACAGTGGAAAGAAAATCCATTTACAAAATCACACAAAAAATCAATTTCGGGACAAAGTAGTAGGGTTCCCTCTTCCACAGCACTTTGATCTTCCTAACCACTCTGTTACTGATTTCAAATTTGTATTAATTGCTTTGGGTTTCAAGTCTCTAACTGACAGACGTTGTGCTGAACTTCAGTGGATTATGAAACAAAACACACAATAAGTTGGTATTAACGAAGACATGTGAGCTAATAATAATAAATGATAATAAGCAATTAGTAGAGCTCCGCATAGTACACTATAGGAAAATTATACGAAGGTTAGATTTTATGCTTGAAAAAATTTTTGAATGCATTAAATCTAACCTAAGTATAATAATTTTCCATTTAGTGTATGATGCATGCTCTACTAATTGCTTTATAAGTCAATCGCCGTCTTTTAAGTTTAGTTTTTTATAACCAACTGTTGTAGCAGTCATCGGTTGTTATAGTGATATGATCAGTATATGTGTGCGTATTTATATTTAGCTGTGCGTATGCTGATTTTTGCTCCTGCAGTACGCGTTTAATTAACTGCACTGCACAACTACTAGTATCTTTGCTGCACATCAGCAGTACAGTACGGATACGATGAATAACTATTGTAATTTGTATTGTGTTAGAAAGAACTTGTTTGTAAAGCTATTTTGATAGATTTTCGTCAAAGAAATAAGCATTTCAGCATTCGAGAGGGAATACAGTCACTGACATCCTTTTAGGTCGGTGCAGGCAGACAGGAAAAATAAAACAGGTCTAGAATATTCCTATTAAACGTTCAGTTTGTTGTGTACTTTCAAGTTCAGTTTACTATAAGGTCATTGAGCGAAAACAACATTTGAGGCGCTCTGGGCTATCATTTTTTTTTCTTTCATCTCCTAAAAAAATGGGGGCCCTAAATCCGCCCCTGGCAACCCTGTACTCTTCTCGAAGGATGTACTGGGTTCTTTAAAGTGCACATGGGCCAATTGTGTACACTGGGCCTACGGTTTTGAGTCCTTATCCGAGAGAATTTGTTCCACCACCAGAACCAAAGGGAGCATGCCGTTCGAACTAACGCCGATATTTGGCTGTAGGTTGCAGCCTCCCTTAAAGTAAAGAGGTGCTACTAGGAAGCTGAGGAACAACTAGATTTGGTTCATGGAAAAAACATTTAAAAACTTTGAATGGTAAAGGCATAGTATTCTTAATTATCCAACCATCTGTTTTGTTACAGATCATAAAACTTGAGTGATTAATATGTATTTGATTAAATCAAATCAATCATCTACTGTAACACCTAACATTTGTGCATAATCGTTTTGTTTTTATCAAAGTGTCCATAATTATAGGTCAAAGTCCATGGATGGCATGATATTGTCTTATCTGTTGTAGCATGTTTTCATAGCTTGGAATTGGCGTTATTTTTAGTTTTATCAAAATTTACAAGTCATCTACGATTTAT